ATGGGGGGCGGGGCGAGGGAAAAGGCAAAATTATTGTTGTATTGGCCTCTATCACCTCCCAAAAAATAGTACCTCTACGATGGCTATAAAGCAAAAAACTTTATGATTTTTGGAAAAGCAATTAAAAGCGCAACAAAATGCCGATAAAATAAAATCTAGGAGAGTGTTAAATGAGCCAGAGCTTGAACATATTTTTACTATATCTGAGTTTTTATAAGAGTTAGTTATCATTCGGATTTTTTCATTGAGTTCTCGGTACTTTTTACGGGTTTGACTGGTGGTACCGCTGGTTGTTTTTAGAATATTGAACTTCTGGTTGAAAGAATCAAGCTGAATTTGTTCTAAAAAAATTATGAATTGAGGGGTTGATGCCCTGGAAAAGCGACGTAACGTCGTTATGCCAGCCTTCAATTGCATTGGTTGTTCGAATGAAACCAGCCGCCGCGTTGTCGTAATGATTCCATAGAGCTGGGGGGAACAAAGAATCACGCTGTTGTCGACCAATTGTTTCTCTTTTTTATAAGACTTCTGGAAATATGATGCGAGCTCGTCAATTTTCTCAAGGATTTCAGTTGGAATTTCAAACTGATCGGCAGTTTGGCAAATTTCGTCTATGACAAAAGTAAACGCAGATTCGACATCTGAGTGAGGAACAAAAGTTAAAGCTGGGATCATTTTTCAGGTTGAGGCTAGCTTAGCATTGTTTTCATTGGTTTTTTCAGATTAACTTTGAAAGCTTGCGACAGAAGTTTTAGCATTGTTTCAGTTGGAATTTCAAACTGATCGGCAGTTTGGCTAATTTCGTCTATGACAAAAGTAAAGCAGATTCGACATCTGAGTGAGGAACAAAAGTTAAAGCTGGGATCATTTTTCAGGTTGAGGCTAGCTTAGCATTGTTTTCATTGGTTTTTTCAGATTAACTTTGAAAGCTTGCGACAGAAGTTTTGGCATAAATGAAAGTAGCAACCTTTGATTTCAGTTTTGTATAGGGACAAAAATGCGTTCAAGACAGCTTGCTCGAAGTCAATGAGGTCAATGACGTCTCCAGTAAGGGTAATCAGGGCTTCAAGAAACCTGTTGTAAGTGGACTCCCTTTTGTTGCTAAGCAAAACGTAAACGCAGGGGCATAAAAGCCGCCAATCTAGATATGTACTGTGAAAAAGTGATAAAACTGAGACGGACATATCATAAAGATTCCATCACAAAGGCAAACTTTGCTATGAATGCGAAAAGCATTTAAATTCTCCATGTCCCCCAGAATAAGGAACCGCTCACTGTCTTCTTTTCCGCTATCATGTAGACAAAAAGGTAAATATTTGTCGGGAATGTCGAAGTGACGGTCGGTCGAAGAAATCACTCCGAGTGGTCCGTATATTTTGTTTCTACTGAGGGTTCTTGTCAGGGCTGCACGTGAAGGAAGTGAAAGCTGAGTTGCCGGATTATTGTTCACAGTCTTGAGGCTAGCTGCTATCAGCTGGTTGTTTACAGGATTGAATTGCGATTTTGCTGTTTCTTTCAACTTACAAACTAGCTGCCTTGCTTCTACGCGACCGGGGTTCAACTCATGGCTGTGCTGATGATTGAACGAAATAATGGTTTCGCCGCAAGTTAGTAGAGTCATTGGGCATTAATCTGAACGCCATTTTGCACAACGCCAGTGAGTGGTAGATTTGGTGTCTCGCTTTTTAGTGAACTCATGTCCGTCCAATATAAGTAACGCTTCGCCTTGTTGAGTTTCACCGTAGATAAATTCAGTCATATTGGTTTTCATTGTCTTGGTGCTATGTGTGTAATGATATGTCTTTGCATTGTGTTTCATTATCAAGTTTTTCTCAATCATGACTCCATTAACAGTTTCAAAAATAATATTAAATCCCTAGAAAAGAGTCTTTTACCATTAGCACTATCTCTATCGTCTCGAGATAATTGAGGCAGTTGAAATAATTCTCTATTTAATTGCGATATAGATACATGCACCAATCTTTGGTAATCTATATCATAAATTAATTTTTAATCCTCTATGGGATATTTTAATTGACGTGGAATATATTGGTATGAGATATTTTTAATAGAATAATTTCGTATCGCATACTTTGTCCTGTCACCAAAATTTGGTTATACTTGACCGTCAATTTTAAAATCGTAAACAAGTACAATTAATTAGTAGTAATTAATACAACTTGAGAAAAGTACAAGGAAGAAACAATAAAATGAATTGATTACAGCTACAAAATTGGAACGTTAACAATACGAAGATCGCATAATCAACAACACTATTGCTGCCAGCAAAATCATGCGCATAAACCCACAAGCACAAAGGATCTCAGATGAGGACGACTCACCTTTTCAATCCCCAGCAAATGTCACAGAAAGATCAAGAACAAATAAAAATCGGGAATACAATTAAAGAAAATTACGGACGTTGCTATACCAGAATTGAGGCCCTCTCATCAAATAAGGATTCACTACAAAATCAATAATTTTAAAATAAAAAGATGCTGAACAAAATAATACGTTTCAAGATCAAAATATGAAAAGCAATATCCCTGTCATACTGATTACAACAGCACGAAATTAGGAGAGCGTCCATTTACAACTAACTCTAAACCAATTAAAAATGACAATGAATCCATAATTAAAAAGACGAAAATAGATCAGATCGAACAATTTATTGTCAATTGGTACAATAAAAGACCCTGAGTGCCCAGTAGAAGTTTGATTGAATGCATTTACAGCTAATCTAATTTTAAAACCAAGGTCAAAGTTTTTTAAATGAACTAAAACATTGACTTTGGGTACGCAGAAGAAAATCACAAATTGTTAGCACTCTAGATGGAGCAGCACAAAAGGTTTTTTTTCCGACTTTCGATACGAAAGTAACGGAATATTTGTGCTCGGGGTGGGTTTTTTTTCTTCAGACAAATTTCGACTTTTTAACTAGCCATTTTTGACGAAATTTTTTTGTTTCAATCGAAAAATATTGTTGTCTTGAGCTTAAATTTGAAAAAAAATATTTTACCTGTGATCTTTTTTCTTAAAGTTATGAGGGTTTAAAGATTGCCTTTTTGGCCAATTTGGGACAATTAACGCGCGATATATTTCGCGCTATTAACGCGTAAGCGGAGAGTTAATCCGTCGTAGAAATCGTTCCAAATTGGTTAAAAGAAGCTTATTTGCCATAATTGATTTGTTACAAAGAGCGAAATCTATATTTTGTACTATATATGGCGTGTGGGGGATGATTTTCATAAAAAATTTCAAGTTTTAGAAAAAAAAATTCATTTTGTTTTATTACATTTAATTTTTTAATGTTATTACTGCTCCATAAACCTTAAAAGGCAGTCGGAACATTCAGGGCTTCGCCCTGATACGAGCAGTCTTGTTCAGTTTTACCAACCAAAATTGGCGATTGCAAAAATTGATATCAAAATTTTCCAATCTGTGTGTGTAAAAAAAAAGAACACCAAAATGTTTTATGAAAGATTTAAAAAAAGGTTACCAAACTAAACAAAACTGCTCGTATCAAGAAAGAAGAAAAACCCACCCCGAGCTCAAATATTCCGTTACTTTCGTATTGAAAGTTGGAACAATAATTAAAGACCTTATAGAACGCAGTACGCAGAACTAATCAAAACGTTAGTTCGCAAAGTCTACTCACTCATCACACGCAATTATAAGTTGATACCTATCTTAACGAGGTAACTAACAGAACAATTATGAAGAAAGTACAATCAATAAGCGAGCATCAGACCCCGTTTGAATCGCAAATCCTGGCTTAGTTTTTAGGAAACAAGTAGAAAAGCTAGAACAAGCAGAACTGTTTTGAAACTTGGGAAAAAAATACATGAAGCTAAAAACAAAATACTGAGACAAGCTTTAAAAAGATACAACTTTAAATGTAGGCCCTATGGTACAAAATGGTGGCATTTTTGCAGATAATATTGGGACAGCATGAATAAATAAAGAGAAAAACAACTAGAGAAAAACAAACAAATCAAAACGAAAAGTATTAAATAGATCTCATAACCAGTACATCAAAACATTTATCAATAAATCAAAACACTTATAGTTTCGCAGTCAAATTAACTGCATTTTGGTTTTCCTTAAAGTTAAACAAAAAATATAGAGAAAAACTGCAATAATTTCTCAGCAAAGCTCAGTTTGCTCCAAAATTCAAAAAAATGAAGACTTGACTTTGATTATCACTCTCAAACAAACTTAATCTTGAGTACCAATTTTTGCTTCATACTAAGCTTCAAAAAAACTGTTCTCCTTCAAGTTGATCTCAAGCTGGTTCCAAGTTGTCCCCTCGGTGCTACAATTTTTTTTTCGTTAGACAAAATTAAAAATAGTTATGATAATTATAAATAGTTAGCTACAATTATAATTTATTAAATCTAATCTTCATTTTAGTTGGAAACAGCTTAATACTGAAAAAAAAACACATCAGAATATTTGGATAATTTTAGTAGTTCAATGAAAAGTAGTGATTCTGAGCGAAATGGCCCAGTCAATTCATTATTCCGGCTGACCCAAAAAAATGGAATTTTTGTACTGCTGTGGGTTTTTAGCAAATTTAGACTCTTTAGATCTTTGCCGATTTTTTTATTCTGAGCTCAAAATGAGAAGTCTTTCTCGAAATTTTTTTTTAAAAGTTTGAGCATTTTTTGAAAGCTTTACCCTTGTAAAACTTCTTTGGGCTGGATAATTTAGAGGCTTGCTTTTGTTCATCACAGAAGAGAGAATGTGCATGATTGAGTTTGATATGACTGATTTTTGATTATTTAGTTTGATTTGAACTTGAAAAAGCGACCAAAATGAAAGTGGGAGATTTAAGAAGTGACAAAATTCAAATGGTTGAAACCCAATTTCAAATTAGTGCAATAAGTTTATTGCTTTACAGCTTTTCAGATTTTTGTTTGTTTCAGCCAATTGAAAAAGGAAAAAACGAAAAGGAACGTAAATTATTTTTGTTGGGTGATGCCATTGAACATACATGTATGCATGCTCATCATTGTGAGCCAGTTGCAAATATTCGACAAGGGAACGACGACTACAAAAGTCAATTGAAAAAATCGTCAACCTCTTCAATCAAACATGTTCAAGCTGTTCAGACATCATCTATCACAAACACGAAACAAAAAACGGAGCAGATCGCAAAAACTGAGTCAAAATCTCCAAAGCCGAAACCTGCTGATGCTCTGACCAGTCTTGTGAGTTTAAAACATCTTTATACTTTTAGACAGTGCGATAGAAATCATTCATATACTATTTTGCAGTACAAAGAGTACTATTCAGAAACGTATTCGATAGAATTTCGGGATGAAGAATGCTGATTTTAGGCTCGAAAAGCGTTTTTCAGTGTGAAATGTTCGGAGTTTGCATCGGCCTCAATTTTGTAGTCAATTAAAATTAAGCTAGATCTAATGAGTCAATTGATTAGCAAATTATATCAAATTGAGCCTTTTATTTAGCCCAACAAAATTTTAAAAGAGTAAAACTCCAAAAACGTTCATATATGAATGTACTTCTGTTTGACAGCCAAATAATCTCATTTTTATTATTTAAATTTCCAATTCTTTGCTTGAAAACAAATTTTTAAAGTTTGAGCGTTTTTTGGAAGCCTTACCCTTGTAAAAGTACTTGGGCTGGATAATTGAGAGGCTTGCTTTTGTTCATCACAGAAGAGGGAATGTGAATGATTGAGTTTGATATGACTGATTTTTGATTATTTAATTTTGTTTTGAACTTGAAAAAGCGATCAAATTGAAAGTGTGAGATTTAAAAAGTGACAAAATTCAAATGGTTGAAACCCAATTTCAAATTAGTTCAATAAGTTTATTGCTTTACAGCTTTTCAAATTTTTCACTCTCTTGTTTGTTTCAGCCAATTGAAAAAGGAAAAAACGAAAGTGAACGTAAATTTTTTTTGTTGGATGATGATCATCATTGTGAGCCAGTTGCAAATATTCGACAAGGGAACGACTACTACAAAAGTCAACTGAAAAAATCGTCAACCTCTTCAATCAAACATGTTCAAGCTGTTCAGACATCATCTATTACAAACACGAAACAAAAAACGGAGCAGATCGCAAAAATTGAGTCAAAATCTCCAAAGCCGAAAACTTCTGATGCTCTGACCAGTCTTGTGAGTTAAATACATGTTTATACTTTTAGTCAGTGCGATAGAAATCATTCATATACTATTTCGCAGTACAAAGAGTACTATTCAGAAACGTATTCAACAGAATTTCCAGATAACGAGTGCTGATTTTAGGCTCGAGAGGCGTTTTCCAGTGTGAAATGTTCGGAGTTTGCATCGGCCTCAATAAGTTACGGACAATTGATTGGAGTGATGAGCAAACGAGAGAAAGAAAACAAAGGATCAACCTCAAGTCTGCCATTTAAGCAGAAAGATGTGAAATTTGCGCACCTATATTGCCTTTTCAGATCCTCGCCCGTAAGTATGGTCCTCGTCTCCTTTTCTTCATAAATATTTTTTCAAGAAACTTCAATAAATTTAGTAGTAACAGTAGTCCACGCATAGTCTTTTTACACAAAAGAATCCAAATTCACAATGAAGGTTTCTAACAATTAGTTTTTTTTTCAATTTGAGGTTTAAAAAATTGGGTACTGTGTAAAAATCCGATTTGTCAAAAATCCGAAAAACCAAAAAGTGCTGCAATTATCCACAACACAGCTCTACTCCATCCGACATTTTTCAAAAAAATAGAGCAAAGATCCGATTTCTACCGTTCGTTTAACAAATGTTATAGTGATCGACTGAAGGCGGACTGCCGCGGTCGCGCCAACGTGTTCCAAACTTGCCAACAGATGGTAGGATGGTAAATTAAAGCCGGTCGGCTAAGTTGTAATCAGATCATTTAACTACGTCTTGTTTTTGAAAATCTAGCGTCATATAGTTACATAATTATTATATAAGTTCGGATGTTTGACGACCCAATAAAATAAACATAATTTTGTCCAAAAAACATGCCATAGTTTTCCACCACTGAATTTTCCGAAATAGAGAACACCTATCCATATACAAAACCTTACATTTTTTACAGCTATGTGAAACTGTTTTTAGTCAGTCTACTTGGCATATCTCAGTACCTTGTTAAATCTAAAGTTTTAACGCCGTTCAACTTATTAGCTTCTCAATTAAGAAAGTTTTTGATTGCGCTTTTTCAGGACAACAAAACAAAAATACAACGCAAATACAAACAAGACTGCTCGTATCAGGGCGAAGCCCTGGATGTTCTGACTGCTTTTTAAGGTTTGTGGAGCAGTAATAACATAAATATCACCAACAAATTGAATGTAACAAAATGAAATGAAAAAAAAAATCTAAAATTTGAATCACCCCACACGCCAAAGTGCAAAAGAATATATTACGCTCCCTGTAACAAATCAATTATGGAAAATAAACTTCCCCGAAGTAAATTGGCTTTTGCGTTAATAGCGCAAAAAGATCGCGAGTTAATTGTCCCAAATTGGCCTAATTGGCAATCTGGAACCTGATCTAAACTACATTTTATGATTGGATAAATTAAATGTTTTACCAATGTAAAGTATTTAATATTAACCAATCATGGTCCATCTAACTAACAACCCACTTATTTGTAAGTGCTGAAGTTACTTGTAATTTCAGCACCAGAGAGATTTGAATTTAACTTAGAAATTAGTTGGACTCTCCCGAGCACTTCAGCAGCCGCAATAAACCAGTATACCCTAGATCTATTGAGCCTAGCAGAGACTAGTTAAACAACCTGAGACTAGATAGTATAAGAGTAAGATTAGGATCGGTATTAGACTAAGAAGTTGCACGAATCTATCCGGCCGAAAATAAGATAGCGTGACGAGCAGACGGTGTACCCTATCCGAAATTACTCTATGAGTTACACTTCGGTCCTAACTCATCTGGTGCGACCATAAGTCTCGAACAAGACCTTAATAGATTAGAATTAACCAAAATAGATTAGAAATTAGACAAAAACATTTACAAAAATGTTATACGACAATAATTTAATTGAAATGTCTCTCCGACTCAATAGATCAGAGCCAATATTCCGAACCATAACAGAACTACCCGGAATTGGAAGAAGACCTCGAACCAAAGACGACATACGACAAAGTAGAAACTTGCCGTATAGTTATATGATAGTTCGGCAAAAGCCAGAACAAACTTTTATATTTCGAATACTACTTGCAATGAATTTAGATTTCCATTTGCAAACATAAAACCTTGAAGTTACTCTTCAAAATCATTTCAGGCGCTAAACAAATTTATTAATATACAATAACGATTGATAAAAAGATCTAAGATCGTTTTCCTAAAACTCTGCAGTATTATACAAAAAATGTTTGAAAAATATTTATTGGAAAATAAAAATAAAAATTAGTAGCATGACAATAAATGGTTAGTAATCATAAATCATCCTGTTGTTCCAGCTTCATCATCTAAAACATAACAGCAATCATAAACCCACTAATATCATCAAAACACTAAATCTTTCCTTTACACACATTTAAAATTTTATTAAAACTTAAATTCACTTAATTTTAAAACCAGATCATCAAGGCTTATCCTTGGATCTTAAATCATTTTCTACTTAATTAAATTTCAAATTTGATCATCAAGGCTTATCCTTGGATCAAACAGAACAACTTTGTTCTCCCCCACCCACTTAATTAGTGTCTAACGACCTCAAACGTCGATTCACTACCCAACCCTTTCTAAAGACCTAAGACTAATAGAAATTTTTAAACAAAACTAATCATTCAAATTAGGATAAACAGTGAAGAACTTCGGTTATTCATCCTTCACTTGACCCCCCCTCTTACCAGACCCAGGATAAATCTTAGACTTAGTAAGTTTAAAATAGTATCTAACGAACTACTCGCGTTCTAATTATACCTGAACCTTGTGGATCGATTTACTATTCTCCAACCCTTGAACACAATCACTACCCCTAAGTAAGATTAAGTAAGTTAACACCTTAACTTATACTAGCCACGAGAAAGTAAAAAATCATTCTTCGGAATCGATATACTTTTCTCTCCAACCCTGAACAAACAGACCCAGGTTAAGCTAACCAAAAAATCGTAAGAACTAACAGTTTAGGAAAATAGAAATCATTTAACAACCCTTTGCATCCGTCATTCTAAACCTTATGTCATTTAAAAACCTAGGAAATAAACAAACAATCGTTTTACACAATTGTGAAATAGATAACAAAAAATACGACCTTGTAATCACACCTCATACACAAACAGTTGGATACATTCGAACAAAACGACAAACACTAAAAAGAAAAATAATAACGAAACAAAGACAAATAACACGAAAAAGATTTTCAAAAAATCGAAACGCATTTTCAGAATCAGAAACCAACAGTTTAGACGAACTTTACAAACTAAAAGAATCAATAGATAAAAATTGCCCAATTCACGATCAATTATATTTCTCTGACTCAGAAACAACTTCAAATTCATCACAAAGAGGAAAAAGAAGAATAAAAAAGCAGTACAAACACAAACCAGTACATTTATACAATTGGAATCAACCAATTCGACACATTAATAATTACATATTAACAGTAATCGAACGAAAAAATGAGTTCAACGCACACCCCAGGTGAAGAAACTCCAGATGATGATGAAATCTTTCCTTTTATAGTAGACGCAGATACTGATAGAGGACAACACATATTTTGTCAAAATTTACTCGTAAATTTATTTGAACCCGGAATCAGTCCATGTAAAACAGAGTTCCCCGATGTAAAAATCAAAAGACAAATCATAGATCACTATCTAAAAGATATATGCAACATAACACAACAGTATGGAATCTACTCCATAGAATTCACCTCACCAAACCATAATAATAGAAAATATACAATTCAAACAGACGATCTTGATTTAGAATTTTCAAAAGTTTTTTCAGAATATATAAAAAGCATCCAATACCATAACTCACAAAGAGCAAACTCCATATTCACCAATGAAGTTTTCGCAATAATATATAGTTATATTTCGATATTAGAAAACGAAATCCCAATAATAAATGTCTCACCGACAGAAACATCTAAACATTTAAGAGTACGACATGAAATCACACTACTCTCTAGTTATTTAAACATCATTAAAGAAAATTTCACGAAAGACGACGTTTCACAACATACAAAACACGATCTACAAAAAATTTTGGCATGGTTCATAATAGATTATTTCACACACAATATTGATTTAATTGCACAAGCACGAAAAAATTTTAGACCCCAAAATTCGAACGATGATACCGCTATCACAGAACAATCAGATTATGTTTGGGACCCCGAATGGTCTCATCCCGCATTTATAAGCTTTCCACAATCAATCTCAAGTCAAGCAATAGGTACAATATCTTACATAAGAGATTATGTAAGAGTAATACCATTAACAATTGATGCAACACCATTAAACTATAATACATTTTTACCCGATACACAAAATAATAGTTTAAACTCTACAGTTATACACAATGAAAACCTCAATGGAACTAGGAATCTTACTCAACAAGATATCCAGACACCATCACACTTCATAAATGAAGAAATTGTACACACAACAACTACACAACAAAGTATTTCACCAATACGCCCAAATTTAACAACACCAAGAAATACAAATCCTTCACAAACACAGGTAACCTTACAATCAACCGTTAAACCTTCGGTTGCCCCTAAATATTCACATATGGATTACCAAACATACAGACCCATGACAATACCACCAAAAACACGCAAAACATTCACTAGAAACAACTTTGCAGACCATAATTATAATTATACACATCCATCAAAAACATATAATCAACCACAAAGAAATTTTAACCAATATACAAGATCTCGAAATTGGGATAACCCAATGGCCCAACCTAATTCAACAAATTTCCAAACAAATCCTCCACGGGATCACAGTGAAAATTACCCATTTTTTCAACAAAATAAAAATAAAAAACAGACATCTTATCAAATGGATTATTTATCCTCAGATGATGATTTCTTACAACCAGATATATTTGCACAAAATACTCAAGAATATCGTAGACAAGGAATACAGAGAACACGTACAAATCATAGAAATTTTTCTCCACAACCAATAGATGCACAAAATCAACAACCAATTCAACAACAAAATCCAATTAATACACAATCTTTTCAACCAATTCAACAACAAAATCCAATGACTGCACACTCGTATCAACCATCACAAATGCAAAATGAAATACCACTCCCATATTATCTCCAACAACATGAGATAACAAGAAACCAACTTTCAAATTTTTCTCAAATGCCAAATGCAGCAGAATCATTACAAATGACAATGAATCCATACCTTATGGGTGGATCATCAATAACATCAAACAAACCTTTAATGGTTTTCACAGGAACAGACCCTGAATATTCTGTAGAA